TGGCGCTTTCTGGAAGACCCCCAGTCTTCGGTGCCTGCAGCAATGTTCGCCATCTTATCAGTGCTCTTTGTTTTCGCTAGTGTATTCGGTCAGTGAAAAGAATATTCGAAAATGAAGTCCGGGCAAAACCTATTCTGTCATTTCAGGTTTGATAGTGGGATCAATGCCTGAGTTCCAGGAAGATGCCAGCAACGCATCAGCTTACCATTATATGCACGTGAAAACTAGCGAGGTTCGTAGACCTGAATTGTAAACTCTTAGCACTTTCATTGGAATACTGTTCTCGTTACTTCTTTAGGGTGCTCAAATAAGCTTTGCACTCAAAAAATTAATTTTGCTTTTGCGATTGAGCTGTATGAAAGGTAAACCAAATCGGAAGGGTTGATAACGCATTAATAAATAACCATGATTTGAAGGCTTTCCTTTACCCGCAGTGTAGAAGCGCATGGACAGAAAAGGTTGCCATATATAAATGAGTAGTATTACGAATTTAGAGAAACAAATTGAAAACTATTTGAAGGCATTTTATTTATATTATACAATGATGATACGGAGGAAATGGAGAGTATACCCTGCACTCAAGCATGGGTTTGAAAAATATTAACCTTATCAAACTGCTATCAATACAATATTGGTTTCAGCTTGAAAAATTGAACAAGTTTCGTACCTCAGTGGGCCGAAGTGATGAGTTTCCTGACTTCGTCTACAAACCGACGGATAATCCCGCATTCGCCCTTGTTGTTTTGGAGTACATATGTATAGGATGGTTCACATTTGAGTACCTTGTCAGGTGACTACCTCAACAAGAAAATTCTTTCTTGCAGAAAGCCACTAAATTAGCCGAAACTCATTTAGGTTGATCATCTACCCAAAAAGAAGTGAATTTATAACGAAGACGCTGAACATCATCGATATGCTGACAATCCTTCCGTTTTACTTGGAGTTGTGCCTGCCATTTATTGGCATACATTCTCATTTTAAAGAACTTACTGGTCAGTCACTTAACTTCTTCTCAATTTTTTCTGCATGGCTCATCATTTACTCTGCTTTTCCTCCTAAAATAGAATTTTTATTTGTGTTCTACATATGACATTACTTTCTTCTCACCTTTTTCACTTGAAAACCACCTCCAATTTGCGGAAGTAATTGTGCAATAACCTAATCAAAATTCCCGCATCGTTTTCAAAGTTCTACTAAATTCATTACCATTCATACACTTGATAGGGTAACTTGGCACGCTCTCTAACTACCTCTCAATCTTGTAAATTACGTTAGACGCTCCGCTTTACAAATCTCCAAACCTGACAAAATGTTACCGTGCTTTAGCCGTAAGCAGTACAAATAATTCAGCACTTTCTCTTGATATACTAAATGAAACCATTGTAGCAGGTTAAAGGAAACCTGGAGAACTTTTTCTTAATACTAAATCAACATCTAACAATGAGATTATTCAGTGCTAGCCCTACAATAAAGTTTTACAAGATAATAGTTACTTTTGCAAGAAAAAATTAGAAGAAGTTTTTGCATTCGTTGGAACTCGCTCAAATAAAAGTAAATTTTGGATCACCTACATACGTGTTTGTCATGGCAGAGTAGCAAATGCCATAGTAGCGTTTCAATGGATCGTATCCTGATGTTTTGTGGGCATTATTTTCACCTGTTTTCTGTTCTTTCTGATAGCACACTGATCTAGATAGTTTTTCCCCATAGAACACACTAGTTGAGTCTTCCCTTCTGTTTTGGTCTTCCACAATATCAGTTTTTCAACAAAGGACGTTCTACAAAATTTCCGTATCGACAAGCTTCATTTTCAACTTCTTCAAGGATTTAAATCACTTTTCCCTGCTACTCTTATTACTTTTTGTAATGTGTGGTGTTGCTGTTTAGACTTCAAAGCGTTTGCAGGCGAGGACCTGGCGAAGGGAACGCAGACATGGATAGGTGATTCAAATTTCGTGCTTTATCTGTTTGCTCGAACAACTGTCTAAAAAGTGTTTCACGTTGTCTAAGCACGAATCATTTTTGGAAACTTTATTAAAGGCTAGAAAAAACCTTTGAGATTCAGGAGCAATGCTGGTTGTTCGAGTGCTTCGCGTTCTTAGAATGGCGCGAGTTTTCAAACTCGCACGGTACAGTAGCAGCCTACAGGTGAG